CACCACACAAAGTTGTGTGGAAGGTCTCCTATCCATGACTGTCATGAGTCTAGGAGAACCCACAAGTTGCACACTGGGCCTATCTGGAATAGTGTCACCCCATCCAGAACTAATGGTGATACGCCTCCAGATTCCGAGGCTCTGCATACCCACAGCCACTCCATCTCACCAAGGTTCAGTTGAAGCCTGTTATCCCCCATTCAGGCCCCCACAGCCTCCAGGCTCTGCAAATTTTCAGAACTCAACTGTATGTACTGCATCTTTTTCCCCATTTCATTCTTCTTTTCTTCCAAAAGCTCAGACAACATCCAATTTTTCCTTGTCATAGATTACTTGGCTATTGGGACTTTATAAATTTTGATTATTTTTTACACATTTCTGAAAAGGCTCTATTTGTCTGGAGGGGGAAAAATATTTATTTCTTGGTCCCAAATAAATCCCACTATATTTATGCCTTTTATATGAATAAATATTTCAGGGGAATTTACAGACACTTTGCTTGGCTTCTGCCAGACACCAAGTCTCACCTATTTTTTTAACATTTTCAATAGTTTTAATTAAAACAAACATAAAATCTAATATTCATCAATACACCACCTCTCAATTTTAGAAACAAAGTATACGACATAAATATCATTGTACAGAAAGACTGCATTAAACCAGAAGTTGGAATAATAGTCTATATGGCCAGATTTAACGTATTAAAGGATTGAGCTTGTTCTATATTGGCATTTTATTTATTTATTCTACAGCTTCTGATATTTTACTATTATCTTTAATTTCTTCAACATCACTTATTTACTTACTACTTCGTATAGTTTTGATCATATTAGCAATGCTATATTTTAGTTGTACTTCATCATAATTGTTATAATCTACCAATAAAATATTTAAATGTAAAAAAAACAGATCACCTCTCCTTCCTCATGTAGGCTTCATTAATATTCCTATAAACTAAAAGTTGTACATGGCCACATCAATGACTTATCTTTAAGTGAATGGTTATATGTTAAATAGTAACCACTTTAAGTCAGTGATGTGGCAGACATTTTGTGACAGCACCCATTACACACACACACACACACAATCTCAAAAGGCATCATCAACCCTAAAGCTTTGGGGATTGCTTTGAGTCCTCTTTAGCTGAAGCAGTCAAAAGATGTTTCTATTAAACTCAAGTTATTTATTTTTTTCTTCTTAGTGCAGAGTTTCTCAATCTTGGCAATTTTAAGACATTTGGCTCTCAACTTCCTCATTTCCCTGGCTGTATGCTGGCTGGGGAATTCTGTGTGTTGAAGACCATACATCTTATAAGTTTCTGAAGTTGAAAAATACTGGTCTGAGCTACTTACCAAAAGGAGAACTAAGCTAGTAAATGGAATAAGCCCTACATAAATTTATACAGAGAGCCAATCTGGCGTAGTGGTTAAGGCATCTAAAAATCAGGAGTTCATGAGTTCTAGTCCCATTTTAGGCATGAAGCCAATGGGTGACTTTGGTCCCATCACACACTCATCCCTAGGAAGCATCCACATATCGTGAAAGTTGCCAAGGTTGAGGAACACAGTCCCACTGCAATAAAGAGGGAGAGTTGGTTCAACTGCAGTTTTTCCTCTCTATATGGGGCTCGCCTTGAGGAGCACCCAGAGGCTCCAACTGGTCCAGAATGCGGCTGCGCAGGTAGTTATGGGAGCGACATGGCATTCCCACGTAACACCTCTCCTGCACGAGCTGCACTGGCTCCCGGTGGTTTTCCGGGTGCGCTTCAAGGTATTGGTTACCACCTTTAGAGCACTCCATGGCTCAGGACCTGGGTACTTACGAGACCGCCTTCTGCCACCGGTAGCCTCTCACTGGCCAGTATGCTCCCACAGAGAGGGGCTCCTCAGGGTGCTGTCGGCCAAACAGTGTCGACTGGTGGCCCCCAGGGGGAGAGCCTTCTCTGTGGGGGCACCTGCCCTTTGGAACGAGCTCTCCCCGGAGATACGGAGGATCCTGGATTTATGCACTTTCCGCCGTGCCCTCAAGACTTTTTTATTCCAACAAGCAGGGCTGGCCCCTTTTTAATTGTTTAATTTTAATTCAAATTTGTTTTTAAAAATAGGGGTGTTTTTAATTAGTATGGGCCAAATTTATTTAATATGTTTTTTAAATTGTTTTTTAAATTTTATATTGTATCTGTTTTATCTATAGCTGTTCACCGCCCTGAGTCCTTCGGGAGTAGGGCGGTATATAAATCTAAATAAACTCAAACTCAAACTCAAACTCCTCCCTCACTTACTTCTATTACATCCTCTTCAGGTTCCATGGCTTCAAGTGCTGTCCGGGCACTTTCTGTTAAGTAATGTCCCATGGCTGCCTTCAGGACCCCTGGGTTGGGGTACGTCATCTTGATGGTTCACGGTGAGCTGCTGCCCTTGGAGGACATAGCTTCCAACTGCCACCTCTTAGCAACCCTTCTAGAACATTCCTAGATGTTGTTAGCAACAAAGGTTCTGCTAGTTTGGTCCTAGTTGCTACCCTCACATTCTCTGTGGAGCTTTCAACATCTCACAGGAAGGAATCTGATGCTGGAATCCCATTCTGTCAGGTGATCTTATGCTGCATAACATGGAAGCAAAACTGTTGTGTGGATACAGTAATCATACAGTGCAGCTACTAAATGATACAAGATGCATAGATCTGAGTCAGGTATTTCTCGAGTTTATTATTATTGTCAGTAATGAGCCCCTTTGTTGTCTTGGATTGTCTTGTGGACTGATGATGCCGAATTTAGGGACAAATTACCGGGAATAAAATCTCCAATCTTGACTTGATTCCTTTCTGCCAGAGGCAACTATTTCTATCCTGATTTCAAGCACCCATGGTACTTAAATAGATTCTCCTATGTCCTGCATAAGGAAATGTACTGAATGAAATAAAAAGCTTCTCTAGTTTATTCCCAGAGTGGCTATCCAAATGCCAAGAATAACAGCACCTCCCACTTACCGTATATTCTGCAGAAACTGGTACTGAGGTATATTGCCTCTGGATATATCCATCATGATCAGTAGCTCTTGATAGCCTTATCCTATATCAGGGGTGTCAAACTCGATTTCATTGAGGGCCACATCAGGGTTGTGTTTGACCTTGGGAGGCTGGGTATGGCTGGGGCGGGCATGGCCAGCTCAATATCCTGCAGCCCACACGCAGCCCTCCTGGGCTCCGTTTTCGTCTGCAACGGCCACCTGCAACCCTCTGCCAGTGAAAATGGAGCCCGGAAGGGCTGCACGTGGGCGCAGGACGTCAAACTGGCCATGCCCACCCCAGCCACACCCACTCAGCCTCCCAAGGTCAAACACAACCCTGATGTCGCCCTCAATGAAATCGAGTTTGACATCTGTTTTCACTGGCGGAGGCACCATGGGCCGGTCGTTCGCTGTTTCCAGGTGTTGTGACCCAGGCTCAAGTAGGTAGTATTAGATGCAAACAGTTCCAAAACAAACAGACTCATTCTCAGCGTAGTCCAAACTAAATCAAAACAAACTCTTCATAACACAAATTCTTCAGTCTAATCACCAACCTTGGTATAATTAGGCAAACTGCCAAAGGCTTCTCTTGGCAAAAGTTCAGAAGCAGAAGACACCAACAAGAGATAAGTGCAGCAAGACAAGAGTTAGTCTATCAATGTTGTTTTCCAACGAAGAGCACAAGAGCCGCTGCTGGTCTTTTAAGCCTTATGGGAGGGGCCAATCATCTTCTGGCCCTACTCCCGAGTCATCCTCTTTGCTGTAGCTGCTCTTGCCTTCTGGCAGCTCTTTTCATACGTGCACTAGGAACAGGCTCTTCCTGTTCCTCTTCCTCTCTACTGTCAGCCTCTGGAGGCTCCGGAGTCCACACCTCACTCTCCGATGGCCCTGGCCCCATCTCTGCCTCCAATGCAGAGCCCTCATCCAGGCCTTCCTCAGTCTCATCGCTGTCCGACTCCGCTGTCAGCTCCGCAGGCTGCTGGTGGACCACACCACCAGGCTGGCTCCGTGGGCCAGATCTAAGCACCCCGTGGGCCAGATGCAGCCCGCAGGCCTTGAGTTTGACACCCCTGTGCTATATGAAGTTCTTATTCTCTTCTGAAATCACCAAAACTGATTTACGAAAAATTATCACTGCATCTTGTGACAGTAATTTACATGGTCAGAATTCTACCGCATATTCTGGTTAAGCTATTGGTGAGCTTTTGGTTTCCTGGATTGATCATAACAGCTCACGAAACCCTCCAGAGCCCAAACCACAAATATTCTCCATGTGCTAGGCTATGACTCCATTTTTTATAATCTGGGTTGGAATTTTAGGCACCATAAACCAAGAAGTGTGGGTCCTAGTTTGGAAAATGAAGCTTAGCTCACCATGGAGGTGTTTCCAGTCCCATTTATCTTGGTTCACTGTTTTAATTCCTTTTCAGTTCTACATCATCCTCCTTCCTCACTACAGTTATAGGAAGAATCTTGTGTCCAACTTTGTGATGAAGTCATATTCAAAACTGAATTTTTATTTCAACCTTTCAAAACTTTCAATGTGTTATACTTTGCCTACATTTTCACTGATTTATCAGCCATGAACTAACATGTATTTCCTGTTTGGCCAGCATGTTCAGTGTAACCTGCTATCTATAATAAAGCTGGGATCTCTTTCCTGGTGCAATCATTTTATTCACACTTATTTGAAACAACTCTTATTTGCCCATTCAGTCCATTTTGGATTTATATTTTAGGAGACTGTTACAATCCAAGTGGATTTCTTCACCATCAAGAATAATTTGCCGTTGTATGAGGACTTTTGGTTTGAAACTACACATAGTAGCAGCTTTGTGGTAAAGCCTGAGAAAGGATGTGTGTATACATCCATGATGAAATAGATGGACTTCACAGTCAAGACACCTTGTGAGGAGATGGGACGCTGTGATGAATCTTTAGCTAATTCAACACTTCATCTCAAGTTTACATATCTTCACGGACAAGGTTAACAACTTTTGATTTTTTTAAATTTTATTTTGGGTGACAGCTGTAAATCCAGATGCATAAGAGACCTAGAAAAAAATGCATGTTATTAGATGAAAATCTTACCTTTAGATTATAATGGAATATGAGAAATACTGCCCAGCCACTAAGCAAACTGCTTCACCCTGCTAAACAAATAATTCCCTCAACACTGTCAAACTATTCACTAAGTCTGTATTACTATTAATCTTTTCATCGTTCCTATCATCCATCTCCTCCCGCTTATGACTGTAACTTTGTTGCTTGTATCCTTATGATTTATATTGTTTCCTAGTATGATTTGATTGCTTATTTGTACCTATGACTATCATTAAGTGTTGTACCTTATGATTCTTGACTAGTGTATCTTGTCTTTTTATGTATACCGAGAGCATATGCACCAAAGACAAATTCCTTGTGTGTCCAATCACACTTGGCCAATAAAGAATTCTATTCTATTCTATTCTATTCTATTCTGAATATGAAGGCCTCACTTTTGGCTAAGCCCCTTTTAAACTTACATCTTCATATTTTTGCATAAAAAGTGAATTAATTTCTGCAATAGTTTCACCTCCCCACTAGTCAAGTTGGGAAAAAAAAGTCAGGCAGTTCAGCTTTTATAAAAACATTTTCCTGCATCTTGTACCCACCTTAACCATGTAGGGAGGGAGATGTGCAGGCAGGGGAGCAAGCTTCATGCTGTAGAATAGTTGTAGAAGTAATAGCCTCCATATGCCACGATTCCAAACCACAGCATTGCTCCAAAAAATTGCATCACCGATTTGTTCATCCGCACTAAGCAGGCTTTAAGGGAAGAGAAAAATTATTTCTTTATCATATCAAATGAAATACAAGGGGCCATATATCTGCTTTGTAGTAAAACTTGGGAAACAACAGAGAATGAAGAGGGAGACAGAGCTAGGTAAGGAGGAAAGAAGATACATTTATTTCATACATATGTGGTAAGATAGGCGATCAATACATTGGATAAATAAAATAAATATGGGCAAGATTTGGGTTGAAATTGACAGGAGTCCTGAACTTATGGCCACAATTGAGATGAGAATGTCGGTTGTAAGTTAGTGTGGTTATAAGTTGAGTCATCATGTGACTGGACCCGATTTTATAACCATTTGTATGGCAGTCATAAGGCGAATTGAGCTTCCCCATTGGATGTTTCGGTTGCGATGGCTCAGTGGCTAAAACGCTGAGCTTGTTGATTGAATGGTCGGCACTTCAGCGGTTCGAATCCCTAGTACCGCGTAACAGGGTGAGCTCCTGTTACTTGTCCCAGCTTCTGCCAACCTAGCAGTTCCAAAGCAGGTAAAAAATGCAAGTAGAAAAATAGGGACCACCTTTGGTGGGAAGGTAACAGCGTTCCATGCGCCTTTAGCATTTAGTCATGCCAACCACATGATCACGGAGATGTCTTTGGACTGCGCTGGCTCTTCGGCTTTGAAACGGAGACGAGCACCGCCCCCTAGAGTCAGGAACGACTAGCACATATGTCCAAGGGGAAACTTTACCTTTACCTAATGCAGGGGTCCCCAACCCCTGGTCCATGAATCAGCTCCAATCTCTGTGCATCTGCACAATACTCAGCTGCCAGGATCCACTTCTGGAAATATAGATCTGGCTTAGGGGGAAGTGTTGGAGGGGAGGGAAGACCACCAGGTCAAAAATATCAAGATGTGGGCTACATATTTGTGATGAAAGCTCTTCCCTTTCATAATGTGGTCTTGCCCATGGAAAAAAAAAGGGGGGGTCCATCCCATTGTTGTGTTTGCTGTGTTGACTATCTGACTGGCCAGTAAATGTTCTAGAAAACAGTGGTAGACTGACCTGGCACTGCAAAGAGTAGCATAAGGAGCCCAAACTTGTTCAACAGGGGAACCAGGTAAGGATACTGGCCCCTTTGCAACAGGTAATTAAAATAATCACTCTCGGGGTAGATATAACCTTTCCTCCCTCACGCACAGCCACCCTAGTGTGGCAGTGTGACTAAAACATGGGAAGCCCTCAATGGGTGTCTTTGACTGAACTTGTTATTATTGTTGTGTGAAGGCAGCTGGGTTTCCTGGTAGCAGTAGCTTCCTGCAAGGGTGGATGTAAGCCCTACAAAGTCCCTCTAAATGGAATACGGTCAGCATGAAGAGGGCCTCTGAACCTATGCATAAGGCCCCAAAGGTGCTTTTTTTTCAAGAGGCAACTGGACTTTATGGTTTTTTCTTTGAAGCAGCTTTGCTTCTCATCCAAGAAGCTTCTTCAGCTCTGACTGGATTCCCTTCCAATCCTTCCATTCCCCACCATCCAGTCAGAGCTGAAGAAGCTTCTTGGATGAGAAGCAAAACGTCTTCAAAAAAAAAGAAAGAAAGAAAGAAAAAAAAAAACAAAAAGAGCCTGAGTGGCGTAGGAGGCTAATGCCTCCTACTAAGGCAGCATTTAACATCCAGCTGCCTGCAATTACTGTGAGTTCAATTCTCACCAGGCTCAAGGTCGACTCAGCCTTCCATCCTTTCTAAGGTGGGTAAAATGAAGACCTGGTTTGTGGGGGCAATAAGCTGACTTTGTATAAAATATACAAAAGAATGAAGGCTATTGCTTAACGCATTGTAAGCCGCCCTGAGTCTCCGGAGAAGGGCGGCATATAAAAATAAATAAAAATAAAAAAAATAAAGTCCAGTTGCCTCATGAAAAAGCACTTTTGGGACAACCGTGCCCTGGATCACCGAGAATCTCCATAGACATATGCATAACCCCTTTCCTCAGTCCTAGGTAACCCAACGACCTTCCCTCTGCCTAACCATCTTTGCACATCCCTCACCCGATGCCCCGCCCTTGACGCGCTTGAGCTCCAGGGCACCGTCGGGTCGCCCCGGTGCGAAGACGGCCGTGTGCACCTCCATGGATCCGGCACCTTCGGACTGGAAGATCTCACGGAGCAATTTCTCGAGTTGCACGAGAGCCGACTTTTCTTCGTCGGGCCGCGGCTGCACGATCACCCCCACCAGGGCAGCCGGGGAGTCCCGGCTTTGATCCCGCACGCCCTGCAACACTTCCCGCAACCGATCGGGCCGCTCCCGCAGCGACGACGGCCGGCAGAGGAAGAAGATCAGCTGGCCCGACGGCGTGGACGGCAGGGAACCGGGCGCGGGGAGCGGCCGCGTAGCAACGGGGGCGCAAGAGTCAGCGGAGCCGGCCGGGCTGCCGGCGGCGCCGCCCGTGGCCGGCAGCACGTGGTGCGCGAAGGAGCTGAGCACGGTTTGGCCCCCGTCGGAGCCCCACGACTCGCCGGCCAGCAGCACCACCTGCGTGCGCTGCACCACCGTCCCGTCCTCGCACGGTCCGGGTTCCTTCTCGCCAGCCACGCCGCGACCGCCGGTCCGCCGCCCGCCACCCGAGCTCCCGCCCCGCTGCTCTTTGCGCTCCATCCCGCCCGGGTCCGTCCAGCCGCTCGCCGCGCCGGCGTCGCTCCCCGCGCGCCTCTCCTGCGTCTTGCGCGGGTGTCACAATCGTCCGCCGGCCCCTTCTGGGCGTAAGGAGCAGCGTGGAGTCCCGGCCTGTGACCCCGCGGAGGTGGGGGGGGGGGAGGCAAACGGGCTGAGCGAGCTGCCTTTCGCGCCCAGAGAGGCCCCGACGCGAGCGCGCTTCCTTTCTGGGCGCTTTGTTGGAAGGAAGGTCGGTCTTCCCCTTCGTTCCTCGGTTCCACCACTCGCAAGCCGTGCGCTAGCTAGATTTTGGTCACCACGCTATTAAAAAGATGTTGAGACTCTAGAAAAAATGCAGAGAAGAGCAACCAGGATGATTAGGGGACTGGAGACTAAAACATATATGAAGAATGGTTACAGGAGCTGGACATGGCTAGTCTACTGAAGAGAAGGACCAGGGGAGACATGATAGCCGTCTTCCAATATTTGAGGGGCTGCCACAGAGAGGGGAGGGGTCAAGCTATTTTCCAAAGCACCTGAAGGCCAGACAAGGAATAATGGATGGAAACTGACCGAGGAGAGATTCAACCTAGAAATAAGAAGGAACTTTCTGACAGAACACTCAACCAATGGAACAGAAGTTGCCTTCAGAAGTTGTCGGAGTTTCATCACTTGAGACTTTCAAGAAAAGATTGGGCTGCCGTTTGTCAGAAATAGTGTAGGGTCTCCTGCTTGGGGGGGGGTGGACTGGACTAGATGACCTATAAGGTCCCTTCCAACTTGGTTAATCTGTTAATGCAGCCTCTGGCCACGATCCTACACCTTCTTTTTCATCACTAAGGGCGAGAAAGGACTCCATGGAGAATGTAGATAGAAGAAGTAATAGGGGCTTCCTTGGGTCTATAGAACTCCATTTGAACGAGTCGCTTTGCGTGCGTTTCTTGGCAAATTCAACCAATTAACTTTTCCTTGTCCCCCCCCCCATAGCATCCTAACCTATTTAGTTGGTTGAAAACCCTGCTATATTCGGTGGGATTTGTCCTCAATATAATACAATATGGATCAAAGATGTCCAAATTCTACTGACTGCATCATATCAAATTCAATCTTAAATGCATTGCTATAGGAAAGGACAAGCAAATTCAACTCGGTCCCAGCCATTGTAGGATAGATTATTATTATTGATGATGTAGCTATATCTGGATCATTTCTGAAATCTTGCCAGGAAAACTACAGGGACTAGTCCAGGCAGTCATTTATTTATTTATTTATTGGTTCGATTTATATGCCGCCCTTCTCCGGAGACTCAGGGCAGCTTACAATGCATTAAGCAATAGCCTTCATACTTTTTTGTATATACCTGCTTAGTAGGGCTTTTGGCCCCCCGTAAACGGTGTTCTTTTTTATACAAAGTCAGCTTATTGCCCCCACAATCCGGGTTCTCATTTTACCTACCTCGGAAGGATGGAAGGCTGAGTCAACCTTGAGCCTGGTGAGATTTGAACTCGCAGTAATTGCAGGCAGCTGGCAGCTAAGTGCTACTTTAACAGCACTTTAGTCCACTGCGCCAGCATTCACTTGAAGACACATAAAAAAAAGAAAAAGAACTTATCTATAGGGCATTCGGTTCCTTAGTCTTTTAATATGACATACCTATAAAAATGAGAGTAAAATTAAATTAAAGGTCCTCCAATTACAGTCTAGACCAGGAGTCTCCAACCTTGGCAACTTTAAGACTTGTGGACTTTGCTGGCTGAGGAATTCTGTGAGTTGAAATCTACAAGTCTTAAAGTTGCCAAGGCTGGAGACCCCTGGTCTAGAAGGCCAGCTGTTTGTTTGCCAGATACTTGCTAATTTATTTAGCAATAAGCTAGCAATATCATCAGAAGAATACTACTAAACAACATTTAGGAGGTGCTTGGTGATTGGGCTCTGCCAAAAGTCTTATCTGCTGTGCTGGAAACTGGGAAGTCTTGAGTTCAAGAGCAGCTAGTGCAGTAGTCAGTTTCAATTTCAGCCGCTACCGGTTTGCTCGTGGGCATGCGCTCGCTTCTGCACATTTACAGAGACATCCGGTCGGGTGGGTGGAGCCTCCTACCGCCACCGCTACCCATTCGCCCAATCTGGGGCGAACTGGTAGCAAGCCACCACTGAGCTAGTGACTGATGAATCTTCTTAATTATAAAATTCTAAAAATGTTTTTGGGCTGGTTTGAGGATTAGATTATTGTTTAAACCCAAAAAAAATGTGACCAGGTAAATTGCTTAATGCGTTCATTTTTTTCCCCAAAGGAAACTTTAAATTATGTACATCTTGACGAATGCATGGCAGATTTTATTGTGAAGGTTTTATTTAAGACTTTTTAATTCCCTTGTAAAACACTCTTAAGCTCCTTGAGGAGGAAAAATAGTATAGAAATAAATATGCATTACAGATAGTCTTCAACTTACGACCACAATTGAGGCCAAAATTTATGTTGTTAAGCAAAACACTTGTTAAGTGAGTTTTGCCCCATTTTACAACCTTTCTTGCCACATATGTTAAGTGAATCACTGCCAATTGTTAAATTAGTAATTTGGTTGTTAAATGAATCTGGCTTCTCCATTGACTTTATTTGCCAGAAGGTTGCAAAGATTCTGGGACACTGCAACTGTCATAAATATGAATCAGTTCTCAAGTTTGATCACATGACCTTGGGGATGCTGCAGTGGTCATAAGCATGAAAAACAGTCATCAGTCACTTTTTTTCAGTGCCGTTGTAACTTTGAATGGTCACTAAACAAACTGTTGTAAGTCAAGGACTACCTGTATTATTAGTAATAAATTAGAAGGAAAGCGAAGAGGTTTAAAGAACAAAAGGGAAGGATGGGTTTACAAGCAGAGAAAACTATGCACAATGAATGATGTAACTGTTACTGTAAACTAGATTTCCTCAGATTTACTTTACTTTTCTTCTAACTTCTACCTCCAATTTCTTTTTCTTACTTTTCCCCTGCACTTTTTATGTAAATGTCTTATTTCCAAAAGGAATAGTGTTCCTCTCCAAATGATGGGCGGAACTATCTAGGAAGGAAGGGATAATCAGATTGCCTCCCATCATTGTGCATAGGCTGCAGATATTTGTGGGAAATCTGGACATCATTGTTCAAAGACTGAATAACTGGCTAACCTGGCTGGTATGGACAACCTGATTGGGAGCTGCTCATGTATTTCTATTCCTTTGCAAACATTTCTGATCAGTGCTCAAAACAGAAAACTCTCTGCTATGTTTCTTGTGGTTGCCATAAATGTCAACCACAAACAAGTCATCTAGTCCTTGATTTAACAACTACCCACTAAGCAACTGTTTGGAGTTGTAACCAACCTCCCTGAGGGTATTTATGACCTGAATTAAAAGTTCTGATGGTTAGGGGGAGGCATAATCATATGACCGCACTTCAGGCATTCAGCAACCAGCCCACATTTTGGCTTTTTATAGTGTTCTGCAGTCACAGGCATTTACTGCTGGGTTTTGGTAAAACCACATCCATAGCAAACCACTGCTTTCCTTTACTACCATGGCGTTCGTTTAATGACTGCTACAAAAAAGGTCATTAAATCAGATCAGTCATGATTTATGACCATCATAGATTATGATTATGATGGGCAGGCCCCATTAGGGCACAACTCAAAGACTATCCATAATGCACAAAAGTAGTTATTTGGAATCCAGGGTGAAACCATTTTTCTGCAGAACTGAAAGTACCACTGTAGATTGGTAGTGCAAATTTTTGCATATGTCCCCATATGGGGTGAAAGGTCTCTATAGAAGACAGGTCCATTAAAGAGAAAACTAATATGAATTATCCCTTCTCACTGACATGCTGATTTTCTGTCTGCAGAGTTTTACACGGTGATGGACAAAGAGCATGGAGAATCCTGTTTCCTATGTTGAGTGTTGCCATTCACATTTGATTTTGGTGACTGAGTCTTCAAAATGCAAAAAGAAACTGCAGGATGACTCTCGCCAGAATTCATCAGCAAGTTTGATTCCATTTCCTTAAAGAGAGCAAAAATAGATCAAATCAGTCAGTCCTAGAAGAGATCAACCCTGACTGCTCTTTAGAAGGCCAGATCCTGAAGATGAAACTCAAATACTTTGGCCACCTAATGAGAAGGAAGGACTCACTGGAGAAGAGCCTAATGCTGGGAATGATTGAGGGCAAAAGAAGAAAGGGACAACAGACAATGAGGTGGCTGGATGGAGTCATTGAAGCAGTAGGTGTGAGTTTAAATGGACTCCAGAGAATGGTAGAGGACAGGAAGGCCTGGAGGAATGTTGTCCATGGGGTCACGATGGGTCGGACACAACTTCGCAACTAACAACAACAACAACGAGTAAAAAAAAATTGGATATATGGATTTCTCTCCCATTCCAGGTGTTATTCTTTATAGCTTTCTTATAGTGACTGTCATTATAATTCTTTTTTATTCTTCGTGTGTCCATTCTTATATAGAATTATCAAAGGTTTGGGCCTCTTGCTTACTCTGATCACTTGATTTTACATTTTCTTTTACTTCTGGAAATCCATTTAGGCAATACCTAAAAGTTCACCCCTCTGACAAAGTGGTTTCTGACAGTAGATCTTTGTTGCAAGGCTTTGAGATCTGCTATGTTTGACTGACTTGGCTGCAGCCTATCTCAGACTTGATAGTAACAGCTAGTTCTAACTGTGATGCTCAATCCAGAAAGAATCCATCTGGGGTCCACTAGCTAGATAACAATTTGTCTTCAATCCCATGCTTAATAATTAACTTCGCTGTCGGTGGTCTTTGGGACAGGCTGATCCAGGTTTACAAGCTGAGCTTAGGCATTGTGACATCATGTGGGGGGTTTGCCTAGAGGCCTTTCAAGGTTAGTCCAGGGCAGCTGGACAGTGACTCCATGAAAGCAGGACATGACCAAGGAGGGGCAGGGCTTGGAGCAGCTTCCTGCACCAATATGCATCCCAGGCCCCGGGGAA